ATTTTCATTACTAAAAGTACGAGCACCTCAACATTAAAAGAAGAAAAATGAGTTGGGAAGATGATTTTCTTTATTAAAAGTACGAGCACCTCAACATTAAAAGAAGAAAAATGAGTTGGGAAGATGATGTTCTTTATTAAAAGTACGAGCACCTCAACATTAAGAGAATAAAATTGAGTTGAAAATTTGATTTTCTTTACTAAAAGTGGGGGGGGGCGTCAGGCTGTCGAAAAATCCGCGCGGAGAGACAAACCTTAAGCTGAAGCCAAGACAAACTATACTAACCAAGACAATCCACAAAACACGCCGGCAGGCCGGCGGATTAATCAAGAGATATCAAGAGTCTAAGTCTACATATTAGCAGTTTCAGTGAAAGTGTATGTTTGCGTAGGCTTTTGACAGCTGTTGTATACTGCAAGGCTGCCTCCATCCAACCACAGATATGTCAAGCTCTACTCACTGGCACCTCAAAGAAATCCAAGCCTCAAAGGTATCCACATCGCGAACGTGCAGAGGCTGACGTGCTGGGTGGGATGAAGTCGGAAATTGCAAGATGAGAGATCTAAGAGAACAACCATCAACCAAACATTACTACTAGTCGCAAGACTAGCTTCTTGCTACTAGCTCTCTCTCTCTCTATATACATACCCACACCTTTGGGAGATTCACCAAGAAACTGCAGCAGGACTCGTTGCTGGCCAAGGGGCGTTGGACAGAGACGTGCTCGTTTCACTTCTCGTTTCTTCTGGTCAATCTGGGCTTCGCACTTCTCCTCGCCTTCTCCATTCATATCGGACCTCTTAGTGACTTCTAACCCCAGACACTCCATGGGACTGCCATATATGATATGCCTACATTGGGGTGGTTTGAGGGGTCAATGGGGCGGCATATATGGCAGTCCCATTAGTCGTGTTTGAGAACTATCTCCTGCTACCCCGCGTGAGCGGGCGTTCGCTGAACGGCAACTCCTCAAGCTGAGGCACTTCGCTTTTGGCGGAAGCCCGGTCCTCAAAGTGAATTTCTTCTCCCCAGCCAGTATCTAGGCAACCCATAGCCCACCTTTACCGGCCACACGTCTATACAACACCATACAAAACCAACGTTCGGACGTGGCGTCTTCAAATCAAACATACATATAAATTGGTCTGGCACGGGTGGTTCCTTTCCCCCCGAACCCCGCACAGCGAACAATTCCCGCGGGTGTATGGTCGTTTTCAACCACCACCGGCAGGACACTCCGAACGGTCGCAGGTCCTGCTGATCTCCGCGGCTGAGACCTTGAGAGACGCCATGGCACTCTTCGATCCAGACCTCGGCAGCGCGTCGGCAGCGCTTCAGATCGGTGTTTGGGACGATTGACCAGGCCCTCGGAAGTTTTTTGTTCTTGAAATGGTGCCTTGCTTGGTGAGGGTCACTCAGTTTGAAGAAGGGTGTTCAAAAACATGCTGCAATACAAAGTTGCCTTTCGAGGAGTTACTTAGAGGGTCTAAGTCTAGTAAAATATGAGAAGGCCTGATGATTTTCAGGAACCACGCACCACATCGTCAAAGCTCCCTCTCAAGCAGGTTTGCATCCCATCACGAGACTTTGCCACCAAGGTGACTTCTTTCTTCCAAAGGATCCACGTGCGGTAGGCGGGAGGAGGGTGGGGCCCCCACTCCTCCCTGCTGGTGGGCTTTTGTTGGATCATTGGTGGCAGAAGTTTCAGAAGATTTGTGTAGTGACGTGCAAAAACATCGAGTTTGCAGTACTTTGCACTACCCCTAGGCTTTAGGAGTTGCTGTAGTTCAAGGTTGGCAGATGTTATTCTTGATGTGCTTCGGCGGCATGTGATTGGCAACACTTCAGCCATCCTGCAGTTATATGTGGTTGTGGAATCTACGACATTTTGGCGTGTCCTGTTGAGGACGCCGCTCCAGAATTGAGAACCAGTTGGAGTACTGTAAGGCTCCCTCAATGGCCCCAAACTGGAAAAGGACTCCTGAGGTTTGACGCAGACTTGTTTGGATGGGCGGGTCCGGGTGGGCGCAACTCTTCCAATGATTGAATCTGAATTTGCTGACTCCACATGTGGCTTCGGCTCTTTGTTTGGCTTCCGTTGGGGGGCCATAGGATCCATAGCCGCTCACCGTGTTCCATGACGTGCCTATTACGCTTTTCTACCGCATCGCTGACCGGTCCCGCCCTGGTCACACAGCAAAAGTGCAAGCCGGCTGTAGGGTTTGACCATGTTTGGTTTCCTCAGGGTACACGGGTACACTCCATCATCATCGAAGTGGATGGCCTGGCCCCAAACGGATGACCTTTTTTCCGAATACCTAACAGGTGGTTTTCCACTGCGATTCCAGGGACGGAATTCACGCCCAAGCGTTGTTTTTCTCCCACAAAGCCAGCTTTTGCTCCTGTGCCAACTTCAGGTGCCCACGTGCATGATGACGATGAAGACTTCCGTGAGGACCTTTGAACCAGGTTCAGGTTTCCTTTTGTCAATTGTGGAGACCGCGCCAGTGATGCTCACTTTTGAATGGATAGAAGCTGGGAACTGGAGGCCGTTGATGGAAGACATTGATGATAGAGAACGCCAGGGTATCTACAAACTACATGGTTTTGCCGGTGAACGTGTTTCGCGTTGTTCACGAAGATACGTTTTACTTCGGGATCGAGATGGATCGTAAGGACGATGAGCTGGGCAGCGTGAGCGATCAACTGGAGCTGCTGGGACTCTCTTGAATGGGGTGGGATGACGAAGGGCTGGCATGGTAGGTCTCACGATGTTTCACTGCTAGGCACGAACCCCCAGATTTTTCCAGCACCCATCACGGGCAGAATTGCAAGGCCGGGACATCTGGACAGCTCGTGGATGGTGTTGCAAGCACGGGACGCTGCTTGCTTCCCTTTTTCGCTCATCCAGTCATGCTGCTGCAAGCAACCCCAGCGATTGGACCTGATAAGCCCTCATGCCAGTAATTATGTGCCTTTTCAGTGGTCTGCACGAATCATACCTCCTGAACCCAGCTATGCAGACACCGGTGACTTTGATCATTAGCCCTGTCGACTGTGGGCACGCTGATGACTGAAACATGAAGAGACGCAGTATTACACTTGTGGCCACGTTGTGCACAGCCTCACACCTGTTGGAATTTTAAGTTTACATCCTGCATGAGGTATGTCTCTGGAGATATGGTGGCGACCCTGCGCATCCGCGATATTCAGAAGGAACTCATGCGAGCAGCAGCTTGGCGTTCAAGGGGGAGCTGCTCGCATCAGAGCCTTCCGACTTGTAGGCTCCCGCATGTGTGGGCCGACTTGGTGGTGGGGCGCACAGATGTGCACAGGCGCGATATGGCGCGATATCAGGGAAAAATCCGCTCCTCCGATCCATCCATTTGGGATAAGGATTCATCAAAGCATTTGGTGGTTGGAACATCAGAGCCATGGATGTTTTGAGCTGGTCGACTAAAGTCACGTCGTTGGCCGAGATGGAGTCGCTGTGCATTTGGGGTGATCGGATGTGATCGGTTCTTTCATTCCGGTATCTGCCCCTTCCAAGAAGGTCGAAACCGAATCTGCTGGGGATGGCTGCCATGGATGTTCCTTGTTTGTCAGGTCCACTGTCTTCGCACACCATCGACTATCACAGCTCCCTCAGGCTACCATCGTCGCATCCGTAGCCTGCACAAACGACCATCTCAGACCACACAACACGACGAGAAGTCGAGGTGAAGTCGAGGCGAAGTCGGCACCACCCATAACATACTAGCGTCCTTGCTCCTAGTAGTAAGGCCAGGAGCCCCGTTCATAGCGTCCTTGCTCTGTTGTGGCTCTATGCATTCCCCTGTTTGGCGGCTCGCCTTTCAGCGGAGGACCACTGCGAGGAGTCCCATGGGCGAAAGAAGCTCCTCATGCGCCTCTCGTCACAGAAGACTGACATGATTCGGGCTCGCCTAGTGACGAACAAATTGACGAAGAAGTGCTAATGCATCAGTAAATGTTATAAATATGAAATATCTATTTGGAAGAGAAAGAGAGAGAGAGAGAGGGAGAGAAGGTGCTTCTTTGGTGTCACTGTGAGATAATCAGATACGTTGCCTTGAAGGTATACAACTGGAAGTCTGATGAAGCTGGGAAAGTTCTTATATGTTCCGTGCCAAAAGCTGGCGGCTTGAGTTGCCTGGAGAGTGTGACATGTGACGGAACTGCGTCGTATTGGGCTCACGATGCATGACAAGCACACGAACCAGGACTGGTTCGAGAGAATCATCCTGATCAAAACCCTGGACGAGAAGAAGAAGTGCGGCCCGTGTTCCTTGGTCCTTGATGGGTCCAGACAATGAGCAACGTCCCTTCAACCAAGTCGCCAAACGTCCAAGAGTTTCAGTGCTCCAGGACCATGATTGACGTAGACCCCGTTTCCTTGGACATACCGGAGGGCGATCTGATTTGCGCACTGAATCCAGCCGTCGGATGGTTTGCAAGATTTCGGAAGAACATGGCGCAATTTGTCCGCCCAGGTTCGAATACTGCTTGCGGATGCTGCGTTTGTGCAAGGATGCGTAAAACAATTGTGCTTGCCTCCACCTCCAGCTGCGATGCCTAGCTGGTCGCAGGTGGCCGTTGGCTCAGAAGCAAGGTTTGACCATGTTCCGTGGTGTGTTTTGTCACATGAAAGGGTCCCGAGCCGTTGCAAATGTACACATTCCGCACATTCCCAGTCTTGATTGTTTCGCAGCAACATGGGGCAACCCATGGGGCAACCGTTGGGGCAACATCAGATTCACGCCAGATTCTGCGCGAAACCAATGGCCACAGGTTTCGTCTCATCACCGGTTCAGGGTGTACCACCAGCACCCTCCAAAACGTCTCCTTTGTCAGGCCCATTCAGGCCCCAAAAAGGTTTCCATTGGTGAATGTGTTGGAGGGTGCTGGCATATGTTAGCATATGTGACCCATGCAGCGAATTCTAGGGAGCGCTGTTCGCGTTCCTTGAAGCTTGAGGTTGGATGCGACATCGCACATCCAGCCTGATTTGGCACTCCCAACTCATCCAAAAACTCATCATCTTCGAAGATGTTCCGAACTCAGACCCTGGCACCGCTCGGACGCGACCGGGCACCGCGAGCGCCTCGCCGCGTCAGGCGATGTGGGGGCCGAGCTCGGCACACGTCCTCGACCGAGGCGGGGCGGCCGGCGCCGCCTGGTGACTTGAAGAGGGTCCAGTCGGGAGCAAGAGAGGTCAATCAACCCTATGAACTCACAGGCCGAACAGCACATGGATTTAGCCTAATGGACATGATAGTGGACATGATATATATATATTATACTATATTGTATCTTATATATATATGTATATATTTGTATATGGATGAATGTCCCTCCGAGAAGGTCATCAGTAGATTGGTGGACGATGGCACATGTCCAGTCTCAAAGCTGTGAGAAATTTGCAGAATGTCTTTGGCGGTGGTCCATGGTGTGGAGATGTGTGGCTTCCTGTGACGAAAGAAGCCGCAACTCTGTGTATTTGGTGGAGAGGTGTGGAGAGGTGGCTAGCTTCAAGGGAAGCTATGTTGCCTAAAGGAAGCAATGGCCAAGGCGGCCAAGGTAATCTTAGACTGATGATTGGCTCATCATTTCACTGTGTGTAAGAGGAAATGCAACAGCAACTGTGCTAAGCCTTCTTTTCCCTGTAATTTCCTGTAGCTGAACTTGAATTAAGCATCAATCGCTAGGGGCCTGCTGAGTCAAATTTGCACTTCCTGCAAGGCAACCATTTCATTTCTGATGATCATTGGTGTTCACTATTGTTAATTGCCTAGCCCCATTGAAAGGTCTACCACAGACCACAGATCCACAGACAGCGCAGTGGTCTAGGAGCTGAGAGCAGTGGTTTGCGAGTATTGGCACTCAGAGTGCAAATCGCACGGCCGGCGGGTTCCGCGGAGTGGGTGGCCTCTCTTTGGATCCAATGACTGTAGCATAGAATCACATCCCTGGCCTTCCAAGACCGAAAAAGGTTGACCTGGTGTTGCAGTCCAAAATCCCCAGCAAAGGAATGGTTGATTCGGTAAAGGCTATGATACGTAAATCAAATCAATAGTGGTTGGAGCCTTCCGGCCGCGATGGACGACCAGACTCATGTAGCACGTGAGGGCTTGCGACATTCGGGCGATCCGATGTTCGGAGCTGTAGATGATTTGGCTGGTGAGTACTTCAGGCCGCTATAGCCAAGGTTGGTGGATATTCATATTCCAATTGGAAGAGGATAAGGAACTACAAGGACATCCACAACATTTTGCGAGGTATTGAGGGATGGAAGTTCCACAAGTCCAGATGGGTTTTGGATTGTCCAGAGGTCGCCTCTGCTTCCGGATGAGCAAACTACGATGTAATCAGGCACAGGCTGTTTGAGATTCTGGTCCTTTGCAACTTCTTGGTTCCTCATGGTTCCTCCTTTAGCCTGGGTCTGGGCCTTTCCCGTACTGCCCTACCTTGCATGATTGCAAGTCCATCGCTTCGCAACCAAAACACCGGTCCATGTGGAGAGCCTCACGCTTTCCACAGGTGAAACAAAAAGGGTGATGGTGTGATTGGTGACTCTTTTTGATCCGGTGTTTTGTACCATCGATAGTAGGGGAAAAATAGGTACAAGAGACAGTAGAATCAGTAGAAGGGCAAATTAAGTACCAGCACCCTCCAACAGGTCTCCTTAGGCATGTTATGACCTGGACAAGACTTCCATCTCAGGACCTTTCGTCTCTTCGTGGCTTTTCTCAACGTCGGCACACCTCACGCCGGCGTCTCCAGCTGAGTCGACGTGGGGGGCTGACCGCCCCGATTTTGAGGCGCAGAAGCTGACGTCCGACCTCAAGAAGGTGTGGCCATTCTTTGTGTTTCGTTTGCTGAAGCCAATGACAGAAACGATTGTTTCTCTTGAAATGTCTGTGCGTGTGTTTTTACTTTATATAACGGGGGATTTGGGGGGGAGACTAACAACTTTGGGCCGCAGGCATTCAAGCTGAAGTTGTGGGTTCAGTATTGATTTTGTCAGCCATCCCACCAAACATATGTGCAGGTCTAGGGCAAAAGTCATGAAACATCACCAAGAACTTCAGGTCTTGGAAACACGAGGGGGTTATGAGAACTCTGTACTGTATATCTATATAGATGATTATAAAGGTGTTTGCTAAGTCTTGGAAGCATCCTACTACTGAGAACTCTGCAGAGATTTTGACCCAGTTGCACCGGAAGAGTCCAGTGACAATGGGATAAAAGACCTTTGCGGGAGGCACATGGAGACTCACCCTCCCCAATTAGGAACGAACCGTAAAAAATTACAACAAGATCAAGAACTCCTCTTTGAGACGGAGTTGTTTTTTCTTAAAGCAGATTCAAGCAACGAAGTGTGTGCTTCTAAGCCTGTGAAACCCTGCCAGGCCGTGGCACAAGCTGAACGAACGAGGACGGTGGGCAGTCCGACCGACGACTGTAGACCGGTGCCAAACAACATGGTATAGGATAGGGCTTCCTTGTCGGGATGCCGACGAATGCAGAATATCACAGGCTGGTGGGTGACTCAGGGACTTAGATCATTCGAGTTTGGGGTTTGTTTTAGGACATGCAGTGGCGCAGGTTCCTTTGTGTGCCTGATATGTGAGCAAACCAATTGGATTGCTGGCACCATGCCATGAAAGGATGCAAACCTTGAGTTGTCCCCACAACCTGGGCCTTTTCCACCAAGCCTTCAAATCTTGTTTTTGGCCGGGCAGCAGTCGGTGTGGCCCATTTTGTCAAGCGATTGACAACTCTCACATTGGTGTTGTGAGTTGCGAGAGCGAATTCGCAGATCTGGGAGATCTGCCAGGATCGACAAAGAGGGTCAGCTGAAACTACTGGAAGTGGAGGACGGGGCCGGACAGGGTGGTGAGGCGGCGCACCGGGGTGGAGTCGGATTTGGTGGATTTGGTGGCTCAAAACAGCCTGATGTGGACATCTACAGTGATGCCAGAGTGGATGGCACTAGCCCCCCAAGATTTTTGTGTCTGTGCTTGTGTGTGTTGTTTCTTTCTTGCAATTAACTAGATATTGGGGTCCAACAGCACACCCGTTCGATGGCCTGATGCCGCATCGAGCGTCGAAGTGCCCCAGGTCACTGGGCCCAGCACCCGGTTTGGATGATTGGATGGCAAACCCAATGCTGGTAAGGGGGTAAGTCTCTACCAGGGCACCCGGATAGGGGTGGTTTTCATGGACACCCCATGACACCCCTCAACCGGGACTATCAATAGAAGCCCCCGGTCCCGGGGGTCCTGGGATGCTTGGAACGGCCAGGCCGCGGCGGAAGAGGCCGAACTGAGTCGGGACTTGGAACAGGCGCGGAGAGGGGACGGCGAACTCGGAGAGGCCCGGATGTGGTTTGTGATGTTGGAAAACTGTTTGAAGGTATGACATATGTATGAATATGTAGGTGAAGATTCCATGACATTGTGTAGATGGGGCGCTCTCTCTCTCTCTCTCTCTCTCTCCCTCTTCATGTTGAAGCCTAGGACTGCATGATCGCAATGGCTGAGGATTTTCCGTGCAAACCTTATGTTACATTCCCCCAGCGGATCCCGTTGCCACAGGAACCAGCTGCCTGAAATCGAACAACTGCCACTAACTCCCCCAAAAATGCACTCGCTGGGACTGGGATTTGTGCTGGTTGTGCAATTAGGCATGACAACTCCTGGCTTTCTCAGAAGGGCAGCAAGTATATGGGCCTTGGCCCTTGGAGCAAGTATATGTGCCACAGCCCACTGCCGACTGTGCAGGCCAAGGTGAAGCTTCACAAATTAGCACGAAAGCGACAAGAGACGGCGGGGAAGCGGGCGAAACCTGGCGGGCGCTTTCGGGTGGAAACCGAGCCTGAAACAGGGTGGAAACCGAGAGGTGTGGATCGATGTGACTTCCTGTGGCAGGTTTGGAAGACGCTTCCAGGACGTGTAGGACACACATGTACGGTGTGTCCAAATGTAAGGGAACACGTCACAGTCCGTACAAGATTGTAAAGAGCTTCACGGAGAAAGGCCTGCAACTACGCCATCCACTGAAACGTGATAGCGGGATGTACCCAAAGTTCATAATTCGTGCCTTTCCGGATGCTGACAGCTGCTAGCTTGAAGCAGCTGAGGGGAGCTGGAAAGGAAGATAGGCGACCTGGCTACCTCGTACCCCTCAGCTGAAAAGATCGGCTTCCCTTTTTTCCACTTGAGCTGCCAACACCTGGTAGGCCATGCCTGTTATGAACCCCGCCTAAACCAGCCATTTGGGGGGTTGTTGTCCTCCCTTTCCTTTGATGTCCAATTTCTGCGCCCACGGAGGGGCCCCTCACGAACAGGTGCAGGTCCACACTTCGAACACATCACATGGTGAAAAACACGTGGATGGCCCCCGCCCTGTTTGTAGAGGAACATCGTGTTTCCAGGAATCAGCCCATCCAAGTAACCATGAAACATGCATGAGTGAGAGGGTAAGCATTGTGACATTTGGACAGGTGTTAGGTCATATGATGTCATATGTGTCGACCCATTCAACCAGAGTTCCGCCGAGTTCCGCAAAGAAACCTCCCTTTGTCGCTGTGGAGCGACAGTCTCAGGAGGGAGTGGGTCAGGAGTGACACCCCAGCAACGGGTCAGAACGGCGGTGGGTCGAGCCCCGAGCCCAAAAAAGCTCTGGTGACCTGGTGACGTTTGGATCCGCAGCCATGTGTCCAATTCGGCACTCCATCATCCATCTTTCGATTCACGATGGCGGAAACCGCTTTCACATGCGAATTCACTGAAACGCAGAAAGACCCGGGATTCTGTTCACAAAGAACGAGAACATCGGCCATCCCAAAGACTTCAGACCACGGCAGACTGCAGAACTCGGCACTCGAACTTCACAACTCAGCTGTTGCTGAGCTGAACAACATTGAGAATGAGCTCCGAGAGATGGACCTTGGTAAACCTTCGAGCTCCGAGAAAATAGACATGAGCATATGATGGAAGAACTTGGCGCCATCCACAGCATGAAGAGGTCATGACCCACCTGAGGATTGAACAGAGCAAAGCATAACAACACATTCATATACTTCCGCAGTTTTCCCCATTCCAGGCAACATCATTCCTTCCATGAATAGTTCCATGAGCCCATGGCCATCACAGGCCCATGACTACTGAGAGCGTATAGCTAGTAACAAGGACGGGCCGGGAGCTTTGTATGTCGCCCGCCATCCTGGACGCGCTGCCGGAGGAAGACCTGGTGCTCCTGGAAGTCCAAGCAGATGCGAACAACCGAGGCAGAGGGTTTGTTGAGAATACAACATCATGGTCTCAGTTGATTCCCCGTTGGACCACGGAAAACGGGGCACAAAAATGCACAAAACGCTCGGGCAAAAGACTGGGTCTCGGTCGGGTGTGGCCGTTCCGGCGCCGGGCTCCGGCCAAGCCAAACCCCCTGATGACCTGGTGAAGCGGGTGAAAGGGAAATGGATTTCCACCATTTTGTCCGTTTGGCTCCAGACCTGCGAGCTTTTATGACCCCGGGTCTCCACTGGCTTTGAGGACCAGTCCCTGAGTGGCTTTATGAAGCTGTGCGAGATCCCAGCTTCGTGGTGGCACAGAAGGTGCACGGGAACCGGATCTCGGTCATCGTGGGGGCATCCTTTTTGCAGAAGGCCAGGAACGCTTGGATGATGTCGGATCAGAAGGCCAGGATCTCGTGATGTTGGTTGGATTGTGTGGCTTCATCAAAAGGGTTCAAGAATCAACATCGGTAGACTCTCTTGGCCGGAAGTGACGTTTGTCTTTTGCTTCTGCAGAAGCCAAACGGCATATACATGCATATTACACAAATTGGATTAAGTTATTAGCATCCGTAAGAAAACCAAAGTTGTTCAACTCGGCTTAAGTAGGCTTATGTGCGGCACCCCCCAGTTTCTGGGGCGGTATCGTCTTTAGAGTCTGTATAGCCGTACAAAGCGACTAGCGACCTTTTGCGTTTCATGATCATGGTCATGAACTGTTACTATACGATGCATGGGTCAATCTCGTCCACATGGATTGATGACTACGTAGTGCCGCGGGGGCGGATGAACTTGGCGTTCAATGAACCGATTTAGGTTAGATACATAGTACCAGGGGCCCTCAAAACCATGAAACATAGAGGTTTTCACATACCCAAACCAGTTATTTTCCTAGGGGAAACCAAGTTTTTGATGGTTCGTGGGGCCCCTAGTAGTGCATGGGATTTGGCCTGGACCGGGGAATGGCAGTTCGCACTGCTGCCCAGCCAGCCGCCCTGCCGTCGCCAGGTGGTGCATCAGCACTTGAGCGGCACGCAGCGCCGGCAGTTTGACCCCAATCAACTGGAGCAGCACGCGCCTGAAGCAGTGGTGCCTAAAGCAGTGGTGCCTGAAGAAGTGGTGCCTGAAGAAGTGGTTCCTGAAGCAGTGGTGCCTGAAGCAGTGGTTCCTGAAGCAGTGGTGCCTGAAGCAGTGGTGCCTGAAGCAGTGGAAGGCTCTCCAGAAAAGGAGGAAGAGTATGGCCGTGCTGCCAAAAAAACGAAAGAAGAAGGCTTCAAGAGAGGCCTCTTCTGAAGAGACGGGCGATTTGGCCGATTTCTCCGACCAAAGCGAGATGCTGGAGTTGGATGCAGGCGCTGGTTTGTCGACCGAGGCCGAGGTGAAAGAGAAGGTTGCTGGGCTGCTCAAAGACTTGGAGCCCGAAGAGCTAGAGGGAGAGGGTGTTTGGCCAGCGAACTTCAAGTTCCCAAAGGGATATCCACCACCACCAGAGGTTGGAGCACTCGCGGATGCTGGACCATCCCAGTTCCCAGAGAATTTCAAGTTCAAGGCCGGCTACCCCCCACCACCCCCCGCTGAGACCGACGAGGAGCACAATGCGGTGTTAGCTGCAGTGGCTTCAGCTGCAAGGGCCGGCGCCCTGCCACCAATGACCACACAGGCCATTGTGGTCCCATCAGCCGTGCCTGGAGCACCGCCCATCATTCTGTCTACCTACCGAACTGCTTTAGAAGGTCTATCGCCCAGCCAGATTGCAGAGGCCCTCTCAACACCGGGAACAATGCCTGCCATCAGCAGCTTGCCACCAGCTTCTGCGCTGGTCGCTGCTGCTGTCAGAGCTCAACAAGCTCAACAAGCTCCGATGCTGCTAGCAGGTGCCAATCTGCTCATGCAGCCTGGCACCTTACAAGCTCCGATGCCGCCCCCAGCACCGCCATTGGGCACCTGACTCAAAGCAGTGACTGGCAACTGGACAGCACTGCCTTTGGGCACACATCACTTGTTGTATTCTCCCGTGCCATTCTGCACGCGGAGAACACAAAGGGCAGCGAAGGTTGCAAAGACGAGAGAAACGCCCAGGTTGCAACTCATCGGCCCTGAAACTCCCAGCGCGTTTCTGCCAGTTCTATAAGTTTATTGTATTGTAGAATGCCAATATATAGACTATGAGAGAATTATATATATATATATATACATTATATACCTAGAAGCTGACGTCGACTTCTATTTGGACCAGCCACCCCCAGCAGCCAGCAGGGGTCCAATGTGTTCTAGGTGTGTATGTGTATATTATATACATCCGTGGAAGATGTGGTTGTGGATCGGGCACCCCAACCCTGGTTGCCCCCCAAAGATGAGCGGAAGAGACTACTGTCTACCGGTCATGTTTCGATTGAAATGGCTTGTACTATAGAATAGTATCCAAATCTATCCAAGGATGAGTGCAAGCTTGCTGGGGGGCGGTTTTTTTTTTTCCCAACCTGCGGCCAGGCCACTACGCAAGAGAGGCAGCAGGTTTCCCTTGACCCAGCGCGGCTCGCGGGGACGGGGGAGGGCTGCGCTTGAAGACGGAGGAACAGCGAGTTCTAGGGATTCTAGGGCCCCCTCCTGGACGATATAGACACTATGACGCGCCAGCCAGGAACTCATTTTACCCGTAGATGTTCGTGACTACATGTGTCGCTATAGGGATGCTTGGTTAGTTTTGGGTTGCGTGGGGCGCTGTCGCAGTCGGTCCAGATATGCAGAACCCCCTTAATAGGTTCACAGGTTCACAGAGCATCACAGAGCTGGGATTGCAATGGAACTTCTGAGTAGTGGTGGCTTTAGATATCTTTGTGTGTTCAACTTTTACATTTGGGATGCTGGAATCCACTGACTATCTTTAATATTTGTCAAGTGAGTTGAAACCACCAACCATTGTAATTGGCCAGCGGTCTCTTCGTCTCTTCCCGTCTTCTTCGGGACGACCTTTTGTGGAATTCATCGGTTCTGGAAGGCCAACTTGCGGAAGGATGCCCGCATGTCGGGTGTTTAGGACTTCAGCTAGCCTTCATGCGATTGATTGACCCGGGTGAGTGAAAACTGACATGGACCTTGAAAACCACTGGAGGGTGGTAAGGACCAAAAAGCCAGGTGCCATTCGACCCGGGTCCATGGTGAGTTTGAATGTTGTGCCCCAAACGCGTGGTGGATGCGGGTGGACGGTGCCCCGAGCTCGGCTCCACAGCGCGCGGCACGGTGCCCAGAGCTCGGCCGAGCGAGGTTCACAAGCTGAAGTGAATCGCCACCGCTCAAGTTCCGGAATGACCAAGTCATGCTGCTAAAGAAGCGCTGGAACACATAAGAAGCGCTGGATGATGTTCATCTAAGTCTTTATCTCAATTGATCTCTGACTGGGCTGACTGGGGGTTGTTACCATCTTCCTATTGGACTGGCGAGCGGTGCTGTAGGCCAACCAGACTACTTGACTGGTGGAATCGGGCCCAAGTCTAACAACCACGACAGTACTTTACTTAAGCACCAAGAACTAATGGGTTGATCTTCCAGGATCTTCCCACAGGGAACGTGCTCAGAATCAACCGCGCCCCCGTTTCGCACAGCATTTCGCCGGGCGTTTCGCCTGCTTGATGGTGTCGATGTGGGTTCGGGCGCAGGCGGGGAGGTGTTTGGAGGAAGACCCCTGGCTTGGTGACCTGGTGAGAAGGAGCCGTGAGAACGAAATATGGAATAGACTGGACTTATTCCACAAGATGGAATCAATGCATTTTGCTCCCTCTTCAACCAGGCCAATGTAAGCAAATATGCCAGTCCAAGTCCATCCCAGTCCCTTGCATTTTTGGGGATTTGCTTCACCTGAGGACCTGTGGACCCTTAAAGGGGTGGAAGAGATGATCTGGATCAATGAATGCTTGACACCAAAGGGGCTGCAAAGCCCGGCGAGTACTGGAACATGTTTGGAAGTGTTGAGGTTTTGGAGAAGTACCTCTCGACTCTGCGGTTCTTCAGCGATGTTCTTTTTCAGCCATGAAGGGTTGAAGGTCATGACCAGACCAGACCTGGTCCTCGACCAGACCTGGCACAACAACTGAACGACTACGACTCACTCGACTCCAGGTGCTCCTGCTGTGTCGCCTGTGCCTGGCAGCCACCTGGGAATCAGCCTGTGAGACGAGCAGTACCTCAGACCAAGTCCGTCCCTGTCGAAGGAGTTCGTGCTTCGAACCGAAGCCGACGCGAGAAGAAGGGACCGGGGCGACCGGTCCGTAGGCTTTCCTCTTCGATGAAGCTTACTGTAAGACTTAGTGTAAGTACTTTGCGCTGTGCTGTACTTTAAGGTGACCGTACAGCCAGCACATGGCACATGACTGTAAGCACATTACTTTAACGGTTTACCTTACAACCCTAAGCAGTTGGCCTGACACCAGGACATGGCCCATTCGATTGGTGAACGTAGGTCGTAGGTGTGACGACGTGACGTGGAACCCACATGTGCCCCCCTTTTCCTCGGCCCGTGCAGCTCAGAGTCCTCATCTCCCTCAAAACGGCGTTTTTGTCCCCAGTCTCGGTGCAAGCTGGTAAAGCTCTCTGATGATTGAAACATTAGCCGCTATTAGCCTTATTAGCCCAGATGCACCCAAGGCCCCCCAGATGCACCCAAGGCCCTTCCCTCACCAACCCCCACCCCCCCCTTCTGGGGATGTGCCTGGTCCGAACAGGAAAAACTGTTTTCCAGGGTGGCACGTCGTTGGTTGGCTGCCTGGGCCCAGCCACTTTGAGGGGGGACCACAAGTGTTCAAGGGCTGAACCTCCTATGGTTCATCAGATTGTAGACTCACCCTGAGGTGAATTGAAACTTGTGAGTACGCCCTCAGCTTCACGATTTGAGAGTATGAATTCCAGGTACAGCAAGGGTTGCCAGATGTTGCCAGGATTGTTTGATCATTTTGGATCGGATAGGTCCTCAGATTTCCAGGTGATCAGCCACATCCATGAAAAGGGCTAAGTCATCCTAGTTGGACCTCAAGCCACGTTCTTTTGGCGCCCCATGGAGAAGCCGCATGACACGGCTGGCTCCATGCAGTTTCCACAACATGCAGTGGAAGAAGAGGTAGGGATCAGCGAGCACCTTGGCCCCGGGGTGCCGGGCTTTTCAGGTCAATTCAAATCACGCTGGCAGGACTTTCATGTCCATGAAGTCGACTTGGCAGGCATTGAGCTACATTTGACCGAACTCATAACGCCTGGTGCTGTTGCAGCGGAGCTGAAGAAGGAGGCAGAGGAGCGAAGAGAAGCTCGAAATGCCTTGGGGCCAAGCTTTTTCTTTGATTCAACCACTGAAGCTGCTGTTCATGATGCCATTGGCCAGAAGTATTCGCAAGAGCTCCTGGGCTTCCTGCAGGAGCAGGCTCCGCCCAAGAAGGAAACTCCCCCTGAGCTGCCTGAAGAGCCGCCTGAGAAAGCCGAAAGAAGAGACTTTTTGGATTTGATTGCAGCAGAGGTCAAGGATGGTTCCAAAGAGGCCAGGAAGAAAGCCCATGAGGTGATTCTCAGTTGTGCAAGTCGTCGACCTAATTATGCTTTTCTACATTAACTGTTCATTTTCATCTTTGATAGACCGCAAAAAGGTATACCTTTTTATGGCAGGACCCCTGGAAGTTTAAGATGCAATTCAACTTGGTCTTTTTCTATGTGGGTTGGACACATGAGGATTCTGAAGCATTTTGGAAGCTTCCTGAACACCGAGACTGTGGAGGCCAAGCCCGGCGAGGGAGAAGCTGGCACGCGTGTGATCCGGATCTGGATGCGTGAGGCGGAGAAGAAGGTGAAGACTTCGATGGGGAAGGCAGCACCAGAAGAGGGCAAAGGCACCCGAAAAGGAAAGAACAAAAGCAAAGGAAAGGGCCAGAAAGGTAAGGGAGACAAGGGAGTGAAGACACCTGATGCTGGCGGCGATTTCGGCGCCCTGCGCCGAGAGGGTTGGCCTAAAGACCGTCCGGAGTACTTGTACTTCCGCTTGTACAAGGAGAACTGCGACACCGGAGAAGCGGTCTCCGGCATTGCCCGCTGCGTGGGCCGGTCGGCGAAGCAGTTTACCTTCGCTGGGACCAAGGACCGACGCGCCGTCACCGTCCAGCAGATCTGTGCGTTGCTTGGAGAATGAAACTGCACGTGGGAGTCGTTCTAAGGTAAAGTTGGTCAGTAGGCGTCAGTAGGAAGTTGCTCAGGGAACCTTACATCCCCAAAGGCTCCAACTAGTGCTCCAACTATCTACTGGTGGTTGGGGTATAGCTTTTGGGGGGGGTTTAACTACCTTCTAAGGATGTGGCTGGAGCCCCTGGGAATCATTCTTTGCCCTTCCTTGTCCGTTCTTGGTTTTGCATGATAGGACAGTTTGTGTATATACATCCTGTGGGGCTTTGCATCATCCGTCGCTGGGATCTCAAATCGGGCAGAGTTCAATACATCAATTGAATACCTTTGATAGATTGAGGACTCCGAACCCTGGAAGGGATGCCGTGCTTCGGGGGTCTAGACCCTGCTATGGAGGGTCCAAGGGATGGCCTCCAACCTACTAGCGACCTACTAGCGACCTCATAGCCTCCTTGCTCCGTTCGTAGCGATGCCCTTTGGTGACCGTTCGTCGCGTGCCCCGCACCGGGCCTCCACGGCTTCACTCCAGGCACCGCTTGCCCGCCGACCAGCTCCGGCGCACGGTGCTGCACCGCGGGTGGGACAAGCGCGTGCGAATCTCAGACCTGGAGTACCGGGCGGATCGATTGCGCCTGGGCCAACTCTCTGGGAATCGCTTTAAGATCCTCCTGCGTGAGGTTCCAGTTGACGCCTTGGCAGGATCGGGTCCGGCTGACCAGGTGTCCGAGAGTACCGTGAGCAGAGCCTTTGAGGCTGTGAGGACAGGAGGCTTCTTGAACTACTTCGGGTTGCAGCGCTTTGGCACGCGCCAAGTGAAGACGCACCAAGTGGGAGCGGCCATTATCGCGAGAAAGTGGGAGGAGCAGGGTGAAGGCAAACTGGTGTTGGAAGCTTGGGGCCTACGTAGCCGTGCCTTCCAATCGTAGAAGCGTAGCAATGGCCTGTTGGAGTGTTTCTCTCAGCGTCCCTCTAATCCCAAACTCTGTGTGGTGGTTAGGGGTGGTTAGGATGGACTGCAACAGACGTATCACATTGGTTTGGTAGTGGTTAGCTAGTTGAATGGTGCGGTATATTATTCAACCAGCGCCACGGGTGCTTGTGAACTAATTGGCGAAACTCAACCAGAAACTCAAAGCAGTCCATGGAATAACATCCCCTACAAGTCCACGGGCCAAGTTAAACCCTTGACCTCATGGAGTACTGGTTTTGCATGACCAGACCCAGCCAAATGAGGTCAAACTGACCTGTAGGGCTGAGCATGACCCACCCTGAATGCAGGAGGCAGTTCACCTCATCCTGGGGGGTGCTAAGCGGCCAGCAGAGGTGGAAGCTGCTTCAGATCGACCATGCAAGCTTCCGCGGAAGGAGGGAGATGAACATGTTCCGCTGAACGAGGGCGACGAAGATGAAGGCGATCAACCGCAGGTGAAAGCAGTCAAAGGCCGTGGAAAGGGTGACGCACAAAAGCTCGTGAGCGAAGCACAACGAGTCTACCTGGACACTGGCGATGCGCAACGGGCCTTAGAACTCATGCCTCGGAGCCATTCTTTGGAACGCTGCCTCCTGGGCGCCCGTGCACGCGCCTTGACCAACCAGGAGGCCTTGCAGCAATTGCCGCATCAGGCGCTGTCGCTCTACGCCCACGCGGCTCAGAGTTTTGGTGGTTGTTTCAGCCAATTATCATTTTGCAAACTGAGGCAGTACTGAGGCAATTTTAACCTTTACTTGGGATGGTTGAGCCCACTGACTGCAGTACTACTATATATTATTTTCCTTCTGTTTTGTTGAAAGCACCTTCCCAGGAGTGTGATTTGGAACGCCGTGCTCTCCCGACGCCTGCGGCACTTCGGCCGTTCGCCAGTGGCCGGTGACCTGGTCCTGCTAGCGGCGCAGGAGTGGACGGTGGACCAGGTTCTGGAGGGGGTGGAGGCCGAAGGGGACGAGCCAGACGAGACGCCCACAGCCGATGGGAGATGCGGCACTGCCCTGCCTCCTGTACGCATTCTCACTGAGGAGGAGGCCAAAACTGTCCGGCTTCAAGATGTGGTGCTTCCGCTTCCTGGCTTTGAGGTGGTATACCCCAGCCACTTGCGGGATGCCTATGAGGAGCTGTCACAACGTCTTCTCGGTTTGTCTCTGGCAGACTTCTCCGAATGCACCATGGTGAGGTTGTCAGGCTCCTACCGCACAGCCGCTGCTTGCCCGCAGGATTTGCAATGGCACGCCCTCAGTCCGGAGAGCTTGCAATCGACGCCGGCCTTGATGGAGACCGATGTAGCGCGACTGCTGTCCGAGCGGGAGCACAATCCGCAGCTGGAAAACCGCTCCGAGAAATCTCAAGCTGAGTATTCTGAAGGTAAAGGCACAGGAGCTGTGGCTTTCAGCTGCATTCTGCCTCCTTCGTCCTACTTGACGATGATGCTCAGGGAGTTAATGAAAACCGGAGTCTGAGATTGGCCCTTTGACATCCAGTGCGCTCAGATGAGAATAGACACAACTGAGAGGAACAAAAATGCTGGTAGCCCAGGAGTGGAATGCGAACAGCCACACGGAGTACACTGCATATAGTAGTTCTGACTCCCAGGGTTGCATAGTATAGCATATCAATATATACTGTGCACATATATATATATATTTATATATATAGTATATATTGTACGCCCACGGCCCATTGATATGAAGCAAGACACTCCTGGCCCTCTAAGACCTCATGAGTCGAGGATCCACATTCGCAATTTTTGGCAGTGGTCTGGATGGTTTGAAGTTTACATTTGGGTGGGGTAGATGGCGCTCTCCGCAAATTGGAGTTGCGCCATGTTTTTTTGGGGGAGTGTGGTTTTATACGATTGATATATACATATATACAGCTCTTCATGGACGTTGGAATTTGCAGAGTGCGTTTGTACTCCGATGTTGGGCAGTGTCGGGTTTCAACTTAACTTGTTAGCTTTCTCACCCCTGAGGCTGCAGTGGCGACAATTGCTGCCCGTCCAACTATTATTGGTTGGGCTCTCAGATTGAAGTCCGCTGGTCGTTTTTCATTTTTTCTGTCAATTTCCACCTGGATCTTTGGAAGATCGACCTCTACCACACAGCTTCATTGACCGTGCCCAAGGGCAACCCAACCACCGAACTTCAGGAGGTAGGGCTCCAAGCCCTAGGGTTGTAGTTTCTTTCACCAACTTCTTGCTGTTTTGTGGGTCTCAGTCGGGGTCAGTCTCTTCCAGAGTGTGCCATCCGCATCCCGAAAGATCTGAGACCGAGAAATCATGAGAAATCCAGAGCCAACCGGAAAAAAAAACTCGATTTTGCCGAAGGTTTGGAATTGGAGAACCTCTTCCAATTGTCTAACAAGATTCAAACACCAAAATGTTCAGAACATTTTCCAAACCTCGACTATGACTATTCATTCTCTTGATGTTGGCGCAGATGGCGCACAAAGTGTGAGGTCGCACGTCCGCCATGCAATATTTTTGATGGTGGCGGGAGCTGTTACAGTCAATAATATACATGATGTTCCATTATTATGTGATGGTCCAAAGGCCCAGTAAATCAAACCAGGTCCTTTACCTCATTGAGTGCTGTAGTGTTTTTGCATGATCAACTCCAGTCAAATAAGGTCAACTGACCCGGATATGCCATACACTCAGACTCAGACATGCCCGAAATCTTCCGACCTTCCAAGGGCCCAAATACCGTTTCCCAACACCCACAATTTGTAGAAAACGGCTCGGTGGCAGCTTTTGCTTGAGCTGAGAACGTGTGTGTGTGTTCGATGTTCTCAAGGTTCTTGCCCTGAAAAAGGCCAGGGCCCAAACATGTTTGAAGAGCTGTTGCCTTGACATCTCATGCCGCTTGCTAGCAGGATCGGCGAGCGAGACTGTGACGATTGGTTCACCGGGCTTTTTGCGGACAACAGGAGACATGAAATGGGCATGGCGCACATGGTCGGGGTGGTGGCGAAACATGCCGGCGGGAGAAAATCAACAAAATCCGTTCAAGAGGGTGGTCGGCAAGGAACCTCATGGACTCGGCGACCTTGAGGGTGTTTGGAGGGAAGTCTGAAGGAATCCTTGTTCGTCCAGAGTTCTCAGGGGAGTGGCATCCGCTGAAGACGAACATGGATCCCGTTTCTCGCCACAGCAGCCAGCGTATTGGGTCTAGTGAGGGCAGCCCCACATTTTGGCCCTGAAAGCCACTGTTTGTGGAGGAAGTGCCTCTCACAGTTGCCCTCCTCAGCGTCCCAATGT